AAAATGTCTCCATTTTTAAATTTTATGGGTCATCCTCACGGTGTCATATCTATAAATTCTTCACAGAGCCCTACATCCCAACAATTTTTCTCTTATATGTTTTTCTAAAACATACTTTTATAGTTCACACTTAAAGCTATGATAATTTTGAATTAATTTTTGTTTAAGATATGAGCTTTAAGTCAAGATTCTTGGGGGGGAGCAGTTATGAAGATCCATTATTTTAAAAAGCACTGTTTGTTCAAAAAAACTCTCCTTCACTGATTCGCTTTTGCTCCTCTGCCTAAAATCAATTGGGCATATCTGTGAGTCTATTTCAGGGTTCTTTATTCTGTTCCATTGATCTATATGTCTATCCTTCTGTCAATACCATAGTCTTGATTACTGTAGCTATAAAGAAAGCCTCAAAATAGGATAGAATGAACTCTCCCACTTCATTTGTTTCAAAAGTGTTTTAGCAATTCTAGTTTCTGTACCTTTATATATAAATTTTAGGATAAACTTGTCTATGTCTACAAAAAAATCTTGCTGAGATTTTGATAGGAATTGCATTAAACCTACAGAAAATTTGGAGAGAACTGACATCTTCACAATTCATGGATTCTTCCAATCAATGAATACAATATGTCTATTTATTTATATCTTTCATTAGCATGCTGTAATTTTCAACATATAATTAGATTTATACCTTAAGCATTTCATTTTGTGGATTAGTAACTATAAATAGTGTTATAGTCTTTGATAACCATATGTTTATGGTGAAGTTATAGAAATGTAGTTGATGGGGGTGGGTATCATAGCCTGTTACCATGATGACCTCATCTGCTAATTCTAGAAGGATTTTTGTTTTTGTGGACTCCTCAGGATTTTCTACATAGATAATCATGTTATCTGTAAATAAGGGCTGTTTTATATCTTCCTTTCCAGTCAGTACGCCATTTAAATTATTTTCTTGGACTACAATACCAGCTAGGACTTCTAGTACCATATTGAAAAAGAGTGGTAAGACTGAAACTCCTTGCTTGTCCCCAGTCTTAGGGAGAAAGCATTTATAGTCTTTCATGCTAAGTATCATGTTTGTGGTAAACATGGTTTTTACTCTTGGCTAAGTATCAAAGAAAAATCTCTCTCAATACAAAAATAATGTAATATAAGTCTTAGAGTAAGAAAAAACTATACTTTTTTTTTTGCCTACCTAGCATCTGCCCTTACCCATATAACAATGCATTTTCTCTCAGAGGAGGGCAACCTTCCCAATGCAGAAAACAAGTGTACGAGATCTATTCAGTGCATCTACCCCATCCTCTGAACTAAGTATTTAGTTCAATAAGATTCAAATATGGAACCTCTTTGGAATTATTCTGCAAAAGTTCTCTTTCCCGTACACTTACAGCAGGAATCAACAAACAATGGCCTGTGACACAAAACTACCCTGCCATCTGTTTTTGTAAGTAAAGTTTTATTGAAACACAGCCATACCCATTTATTTACATATTGTTCATGGCTGCTTCAGAGCTGCCACCACAGAGTTAAATAGCTATACCAGCCTCCATATGGCGCACAAAGCCTAGAATATTATCTAGCCAGTTTCAGAAAAAGTTTGTTGAGCCCAATTCTTAATAATAAGATGTAAGCCTGGAAGAGTTAGGAAGCATCTCACCACTACATGGAAAGAACATATTGGAAAGTGAAGCCAGCACAAAAGAAGGAACCAACTCCAAATATTATATAAGTTACCAGATTCGGACTGACCAGACACAATTATACCCTAGTATTTTTCAGTTACGTAACCCAATAAACCCTGCTTTTTCTCAAATTTGAACTGGATTTCCTTCATTTCAACAAAAATACTTCAGATTTACTACATAAATAAAATCCATAATGCTCAACAGTATGACTCATATAAGGCATTCAATATTTCATTAGACTAGAATGTGACTGTGTGTTAAAAAGCTGATTTATATAACAGCTAATTAGAATGTTAAAAAAATCAACTGATTTGGAGTTCATTTAGGGTTTGGTTTCCCCTAACCAACCATTCTCAGGTGTTACTGAACAAGGAAAACGTAAGAAGAATGAAAACCAAAATTGATTTTTAAATATTAATTTGTCAGGGGCGGGGATTTAGCTCAGTGGTTTCAGTGCCTGCCTTGCAAGCACAAGGTCCTGAGTTCGATCCCCGGTACCAAAAAAAAGCAAAAAAAAAATGCAAAATATTAATTTGTCACAGGACAACTGAGACAAAAGTATAAAAATAGAAGGGAGGTGCACACATTACTATCTCCCTGAAATAAGGAAACTGCTCTGACATTAGCTAGAGAAAGAATTAAAGCAAGCCAAAACTCCCAAGGGAACAGATTTAACTAATTAGGAAGACAGTGATTAACACTGGAGCTGCTAATTGTTTACTGGGCATGCATCTCTAGCAATGTTCCCTAGAGGCTATCAGCAATGGGAGAGAAAATCACACCTAGCGTTACTTCAATTATGCAGTCATCATTTGGTGGTGTTTATCTGTCTCTTTAGGAAACTAAAAACCACTCGGTAGTATGGTTTTCACTGCAAGCTGTATGTTCCTATGAGGAAAAACTTTTATAACATGGTTAGACATAGAATTCTTTTGTTTAAACTTGTCTTAATATGTACATTCTGGAATGAGGAGATTTTTTTTCAACAGTGCACTTTCCATCCGCAGAGGCCAAATGTTAATCTAGGGGAAAACTGAAGTGGTTAGTAAGAGCCCATTTAGACACAGACGGAGAACAAATATCAAGCAGTAGTGAGGGGTGGAGGAGGAAGCTTAAAATGGAGTTGATGAAGCAGTTTTAAAACTCCAGCAGATTTGGGGAAAATGGTAGTAGGACTTTTCAACCCACACCAAGAACAGCATGTCATGACAAGGTTTTTCATCCTGGATATTTCCTCCCTCAAGTGTTTGAAAGATCATTCTAGAGAGTCAGAAGAAGTATGAAAAATAATGGAGTAAAAATAATAAATGGCAAGTTGATGATGTATTTCTACCAAAGGTGAATAACAAATACATCTAGGAGCAGACATGAGTTCAAATTCTACCTGTGCCACAACAGTGGAGATTGCCAACCATCCACAGCATCTTCTCTTTCTTCCTTGAAGTGTGCTGGGTACTGGCAGGGCCCACACTGCGTAAGGGCCACCTAGATTTCCCATTCTCCTCTCCAGATAGATATAGCCACATCACTGTTTGCCCCAATGCAAGTGATGTGTACACTCTGGGCCCTTCAAAATGCTTGCCTTGGGTGCTTTCAAGCCCATTTGCAGGTGGAAAATGGCAGTAACTACAGCAACCTGGGAAGTCATGGGGTTGCGGATGCCAGCATGACCCTGCTGGGCATGGCTCATTCTGCCCAGAGACAAGTACACTTCCATCTTTCTTAAATTACTATACTGTAGAGTTTCTTTATTATATAGCCACTTAGCTTATTCCCTACTATTCAGCCACTCACTATCCATGCAACTTGGGGCAAGAAGTTTAACCTCTCTAAACCTCAGTTTCCTCATCTATAAAATGGAATCAGATCACATCTCATAAAGTGCACAGAGAAATAAAATTGAGATGTAACATGCCCAATCCTGCCCCTAACACACACACACACACACACACACACACACACACACACACACAAGCACAGGCACACATGCTTAAACTAATGGTAGATGATACCAGCAGAGCAGAAGGCTTTCCAGAAGCTGCTTTGGAAGGCCTCTAGTACCAAATAGCAAATGTGCCCCCAAAGCACTAAAAGAAATGTGCACCTGCTTTTGAGAACATCTCTATGGGTAGCAACATACTCAGAGAAAATCAGGGGTATTTTACATTTTAGTCCAGAAGGAGAATTAAGATTAAACAACGTTTCATTATAGTTCAGCCAGCTATACTTAAGTCTTTAAATAATTCTTTAAATCTTGCTCTATATTCAATCTTGTGCGAACAGTACTTATTTGTCTGTGCTTAGTAGACTGAATCAAGTCCTTCATTTATGTAGAACATAGCTGAGGAGAAAAGTACACTAATCTGTGTTCCTATATTACCTCACCATGGTGGGCTGAAAAAGAGATGCACACACAAACCCCGGTCATCTACACTGGATGTACAGAGTCCTACAGTTAGTGGAGGCCAGGGCCTGCTTCTCCTCTGCATACATCCCCAATTTGATAGTACTTTTGTTAGCATGAATTATTGGCCCCCTAGCCCTGTGGATTCTTTCTATCTTTTATTGATGAGACACAGCTAGATTGTAAAGTACTTGTAGACTTTTTGTAACCTTGAGATTTGTGGAGCACTGGCCTTCAGATCCTTAACACAAAGATAAGAAGACTGTTCTGGGACTTTCCCCAGGGCTCTCACATGGGTTTTACATGTCACAAGATGCAGAAAAACCACAAGATTACATCACCCAGCTGAGACCAGCAACTCTGAAATGGGAACACAGATCCTATCACCAGGCTTAACTACTTCCATTGACCTTGACAATGTCCTACTTCTCATAATGAGATATAAGTCACCATGGAAAGAGGAGACTGAACCAGAAGGCAATGATAAGAGATGTTACACAACTTATACATGCTTTTATAATTCTTTATCCCATTAAAATGGGTTTGAAATAATGCTCTGTACCCTACCACATGAAGGCATCATATGGTCAATAAATAACACTCAGTAAGCCAGACTGGATTTTGCCTCCTTTAAGAAACCTAGGGGTATTACATTGCCTTTTCAAATGGCGAGCTTGGTGTATCATGCAGAACTTCTGCCTTAGGACTGAGAGGTAAAAGTTCAGGAACTACATATGCACAGGAACAATAGTAATAATCACAAATATCAACCTAGGAATAAAAAAATACCTCTGGTACTGGTTTCAACAACTAAGGCTTTAGAGCAGCAGCAAAGATTATTGCACTTGGGAACCAACAAATAGCTCAGAGTTTTTATTCTTGCTCTACTTCCCTGAATTGTTACTTACAGGTTCCCGGCCATCCATGGCTTCCATCCAGAGCCTCCGATCCTCTTCTGACAATGCCTGCATAGTGATAACCCCTGGCCTGTGGAGAAAGGAAGGGCATGGATATGAACACAGTGCCACAGGGAGAGAGACTGACAAAGGTAACCCTTCAAGAAATACTCAATCAACAGTGTGAGAGGTCCCTGAAGTCAACAACATGAAGAAAGACACATTGCTTGGCTTTTCTAAGCCAGCTTCCTGTTCCAGAAATCAAAACTACCTCCCTAAATCCCACTTACTAAGTGAAACTCTCTTAGAGCCAAGAAGAAACACAGGAGATACAGGTAAGGAACACAGATGAATAACATGATTCCTTTAGATGCTGTTCACTCCTTAAAATCTTATTCATCTCTATTCTCCAGAATACTTAACAGAGTCCTTTACTCACTGGAGGAATGCAATAAATACCTATTGTAGTGAATTGAGTTACTGGACTCAAAAAAAAAAGAGGGAGAAACAGCAAAGCTAGAGGCCTCTGGGTTTCCTAATATCTAGTTCTTTGCTTCTAAACTGCTTGTAACAGGAAGAAGTTTTGCTGGGGATTTAGCTCAGTGGTTCCGGGGCCTGCCTCACCAGCACAAGGTCCCAAGTTCGATTTCCAGTACCAAAAAAAAACGGGGAGAAGTTTTATAGAGTTAATCAGCTTTGTGATTATGATTATATTGAGTATATGTATTTATTTTTGTAAGTGAATACTTACCATATCGGGGGTAAGCACTTTATGGGCACTCAGTCTTTTCACTCTAACTGAAAGCTACTTGCTTTTTACAACTGAACATAAACCCTCCAGAAAGCAAACACATAATATCAAGTGGTGTTTGTGGAGTTCCCATTACAAATTTTACTTCACAAGAAAAAGGACTGTGCCATAAAAATGACCTCAGGAGAAGGTCATATGCTGATTAAAGTGGGAGTTCTTTATTTAGGGTCCACAGATGGATCGCAGATTGTTCATAAACCACTTCCTCTTCAAATACACGTGTGGTTTTCTGGTAGAACAATTCAAACTGTCCATCAGATTCTCAAAGAGGACTGCAACCCTTAAAAAGTTAAGAATTGTTGATTTTAACTGTCATATTTAAAGTTTTTTAAAGCCCAAAAGGAAGGAAGAGATCTACTGAGAGTGATCGCCATCAAGTCCACGAATCCTGCTGAGGATTCTGAACAATATTAGAACCACCCAAGCCTGTTCATTCTCTCCCACCTACAATTCCTGTTCCTGGCTGATTTCCATAGTTCTAGGATAGGCCTGTTTATGTTTAACCTATTTTAAATATCACATCTGCATCTTCTCATTGATCACCTCTCAACAACACCTAAAGAAAAATGTTTTCAAAGATGCGAGCATGCTAAGTATGGAGGGTTGGGGATATAAGGAGCATCAGGTGGGGATTCAGGTGGAAGAGCATATGTGAGTGCTGTGGGTGAGAGGGTGGGTGCATGGGTAGTGTGTGAAGGTGGGAGGGACCCTGTGGAGGCCACTCGGCACCTGACATCGTAACACAAAGAAGACTCCAAAGATGGAATAACTCCCCTCGCCACAGAATCTGCAATGGCTCTCTCTCCACTTTTCAGAAATTCTTACTCTCAGACTTGAATGTCCATTTCCCACCATCAGTCTATGGAGAGTGCTAGACTGACTCCCCGTGTGTCTGCAGACTGTGCTGACAGCCATGGCTCCATAAAACCACCCTTGACTTGGGGGCATGATGGATTGATTCTCCCCTTCCACCTTTCAAAAAGCGGAGCACAATGTTACTTTGAAACTGATAGCTTTGAAGCTACAGTCTACTGCAGAACTCTGAAGTCTCTGGACCTGGATTTTTGTTCCTCAAGGTCTTATACCTCTGTATCTGCTTCCAAATTAGATGATTCATTAAAATGGAGATTCCTAACTCTACCTTACAGAATCTAAACTTCTGGGCTGGATTTTAACCAATGCCCCAGATGATCCTGTTGCATGCTTAAGTCTGAGGCCCATGTCCTGGCTGCCTGCTCTATCCCTTCTTTTTTCTTTCTTGGTCCCCCTGCTCTGGAATGCAAGACACCCTCCTCTCTACACACTGGGGTCCTAGAGTCAACATGTCTCCGGTTCCTTTCCTGCTAGGAAACAGTTTGAGCACAAGAGTTGCCTAAATACCCAGATCTCTGGGCCCTCACAGATGTCACATCAACTTCATGGCACACTGTGTAAAATTTCCACCCAGAGCCACAAAGAGGAAGTTCAGACAAACTCAGAGGCTGTGAAGGGTGGGCCCCTTGGCCTCAGTAACAGGGAAAGTCAACAGGATCTGTTTTTATTTCGAGAAAATACATCAAAATACAAGTTCTTTTCCACATGTGGTCTTGTCCTCTTTTTAGGGGAGAGTGTATACGGGGTGGAGGGGGGTGGCAGATGGTTTAGTTTTAGTCCTAGCCCAGGTTCACAAAATTTCTTCTTCCTAGCCCTCATATACGTATACCTGGATACAGTACCATCCTTTCTAGGCATCTAGAAAACACTCAAATGTTTCTTTTCCTTTTTCACAATTGAAATAAGTATTACATAAATATCTTACTTCCATGTGAATTTCCTAGAACCAAGTTGAACGGATGAATATTCTTTATTTTGGAATTAAGCAATAATCTTTTTTCGATGTTTCCCTTCCCTATGCCCCTACTAACCACTGTCCTCCAAAACAAAATAAACAAGCAAAACCTTCTATAATTTCCATAGAAGTCCCTATAAAACAGCATACTTTCAGACATTCCCCTACTGTTGCTTTAGTTCATACTTGAAATGTATGTGGTTTTTTCACAGCAAAAACCACTGGGCGAGGGATAGGTTTTGAAAGAAAGGGAAATATAAAACAATGCAAGAGAAATTGAGTCAAAGATTAGAGCTCTTTGTAGCTCTACAAAAAATTGTTACCCTATTAGACACTATAACAAAAGAACAACAGCAATAGCCCATTACTATGTACCAGCTGCTGTATTTAGCAAGTTACAGAGCTAGGACATGAATACAAGAAATCCACCTCTTAACCCTAGTGCACAATGGCAAATGTGAAGCTGCCATAGTCCCAGAAGCTTATGTTGACCAGTCAAGTCCTCTAGTGTCAAAACTAACCAAGCACTCCTGCAATAACTTAATGAGCTCCTGCATGGGATCAAATGAGATGGAAGGATAAAAACCTCTGTAAACCTAAAATCCTTCATAAATATGAAAGCTCAGAATACCACTCTGAGTGACAATGGCCAATCCAAAATCAGGAATTTATATCACAAACATATACCAATTTAAAATAAGAATCCATTAGCACCCAATGTGACTGGGGCTTATATCTTCTACAGAAGTGGTTGTCCACATTGTTTTCCACCTCAAAATGTTCAAGAGATGGAAAGGCAATGAGTTGGGTTTTTTTCCCTAAGAACACAAAAAAGCACTAATCATAAAGAAAAAACACTGGAAATTGAATTTCACTGAAATGAGAACTTGCATTCATCAAAAGATAATATTAAGCTGGATGTAGTGGCCCATACCTATAATCCCAGCACTCTGAGAGGCTGAGCCAAGAGGATTGCAAGTTCAAGCCTAGCCTAGATAACTCAGCAACTAAGTGAGATCCTGTCTCAAAATAAAAAATTAAAAAGGGCTAGAGATGTAGCTCAACATGAAGGCCCTAGGTTCAATCCCCCTTACCCACTACACACCAATATTTAAAAAATAAAAAACAAAATGAGAGTGAGAGAAGGTATTTCTAATAAATACCGCCAACAAAACTCACATCCAAATTATATGAGGAATCCCTACAAATAAATAGGGAAAAAATGAACAAGCTAACTCAGTGAAAGACTTACTAGGAACTTCATAAAAGACGATATCCAAATGGTTACCAAGTGTAAGAAACAGGACCCAAAATGTTATTCATTAGGGGAATATAATTAAAACCACAGTGAGATAAAGCAAATACTCTCCTGAATGAACACTAGTAAAAAAGACCGCCAATACCAAGTGCTAGCAAGAATGTAGAGCGCCTGGGACCCATAGATTGCTGGTGGGAGAATGAACTGAAAAAACCATTTTGGCAATATCTACTTGAACTAAATGTGACCTAGCTATTGTACCTCTCATCAGTCATTAAGCTTATGACCACCAAATGGCACATTCTAGAATGCATGCAGTTTTATTCACAATTGCTTCAGACAGCAGCAATAACAAAAATATCTACCAATAAGAGAATAAAGCACTGAATATTTACATGATGGAGCACCATTCAAAAACAAAAAAGAACCAACTACTTCTGCATCAACCTTAACATGAATGAATCTCACAGACATGAGGAGGAAAAGAAGTCAGATACAACAGACTATAAAGTCTGATTCCAGTTATATGATGTTCAAACACTTGTAAAATACCTCCATGGTGGCAGAAGTCAGAAGAATGACTCTGTGTTGGGGGAAGGGCTTAAAGGAAATTTAGGGGATGGTACAAATGTCCTATATCTTGATACAGGTGATTTCACAGACATGTATGAGTACGAATATGTGTATAAGGCATTAAAATATAGATTTAAGATTTATGCATTCTATTGTGATTGCATCTCAGTTTAAAAACTGCTTTAAATACTCAAGAGATATGACTTCTCATCAGTAATTTAGTCTTACTAGGTAACCTAACTCTAGTACAGTGGACCCTCAAGTTGCGACCAGCTTGATATACAAACAACTTGGGTTAATTAAGTTAATGGAAGATTCATCTACCTCTTGTTATCTATAGCATGTACTCAGGTAAACATTCAGATCTCAGCTGTATTGACTTACAACCAACCTGAGTTACAATCTGCCCCCAGGAACCAATCGAGTTCTTAAGTCAAGGGTCCACTGTATTTCCATGCTGTGTGGCCCTGGTAAACAAGCAACTGATGCTACTCTTATGACTTGCATTTTTAAGAAGAGAAGCACAGAGCAGCTCAATTACTTGTGGGCCAGGGTATTAGTGTTACACCTCAAGGCATGCTGTAAAAGTTAAATGAGAAGTATATCCAGATTTTCCAAGTC